GGGGGGGCGGGGGGGTGGGGGCCCCCCTCTATCCAGCAAAGCCCCATTCACCCGCTACACAGCGGGAGAAGGCAAGTTCAAGCCATGAGCTTTGCTCATGCCGTTACTTTGCTACAGCCTGGCTGAGAGCAAGCACGCTCCTCAACAAAATGGTTTTAGCTAGTTTAAAGGATGGCCAAGGTGGGCTGTTTTCCATAACATTAAAAAAATAAAGCAGGAAGACGAGGACAAACTGAAGAAAGCTGTTAACGAGGCAAACTGCCTTGTGCCCAGTCCCCAAGCGCAGCCCGTCTCGCCCTCGACGGGGTCTGCGCGGCAGCATCCCGCCTGGGGCAGGCTTTGGAGCTCTGCCCTCGGGGACGGTAGATGGTGGCGCTGGTGGAGGGGCGACCCTCACCCCAACTCCCAGCTGCGCCAGCCAGACCCTGGCACACGCGCGTCCCAGAGGGCAACGTCCAGGAGGGACCACGCTGGCAGCTCCACCAGGCGCTCCCCAAGCGTTGAGAATGACGCGCCGAGCTCGGAGGCCCTTACAGGCCGTCACAGAGAGATCCAGAGTAGAGCTGGAGCCAGCGAGGTGCCGTGCTGTGTCCCTCTACGCACTTTCAACGCTGATACCAGAAAGGGAAGAGTCGCGAAGGGTCCTTCCAGCCCAGCCGCCCGTGGGTTTGAGCCGCCTTTAAAAGGCTCAGAGAAGGGGCAGTCGCTCCCCGCCTCCTCCCTGAACCCACCCCAAAGTTTCTGCTAATTCAGCAGAGCTCCAGATGCACCAGAAGCCGACTGAGATGCAGAAACACGTTGGTTTGAACAGCACTGTGGGTAGGAAACGCTGCTGTGTGCTACAGAAGAAAACCTGTCTCTGAGGAGTGCCTAGCCTAGAGATCAAAATCACCTGCCCAGCAGGGCAGCAGGCAGTTTATCCACGGGGAGCTGATGCAGGAACGGGCAGCGTCACCACAAGGTGGGACAGAGCAGACAGCTCCTCTCTGGGCCACGGCAACAAATCCCAGTCTGGCTGGAGACTGGGATCACAAACAGTTTTCCATCCAGGCTCTGAACTGGCATCCCTAACCCTGGCTCAGAAGAAATAAATGCAAACTAAAGATCACCCTTGCTATCCCCGTCTCCTCGCCTTCCCAGGTGAAGGTGGCTGGGCTCAGCACACGTCCTCATATGTGTCACAAGCCAAAGCCACTCCAGCTCTCCCTGCAGCCACAGCAGTCCAGCCAGCGGAGACCCTTGTCCATGTCACACCTCAGCAGGCAACACTGATGACCCCCTTATTTCCTCTGCCCTGACCAAATCCCAACGGTGTTTCTTTGCCATAGCAAAGGCAACATCTCCAAGGTATTCACTGCTGCTTACTGCTAGGCTCGGCTCACTGAAGAGCGTTTCAGGGAGAGAAATATGGTCTCAGACAAGAGAAGAAGTAAAAACCTCTAATTTGGGCTTTTGCAATATGCTGACCAGAGGCGCAAGCAGGTCAGCACGCTCCACCTGGAGCCGAGAAAATTGCTACTAGACCCATTCGTCTTAACAGACTATTGTCTAAGAGCAAGACTGCAAATGCCGCAGGTGGGGGACTGCGGGCGCATTTGACTGTTGGCTAACACACAGGAACAACGGCACTAAAAAGGTAACTACATAACCGACGGGTGAGCAAGGTAGACGCTGGCTAGCAAACCAGCGCAGGATCAGCCTGGTTGAATCTTCAGCACAGAGACTGCGCTTGGAGATGTGCTAATGATCAGTGAAAACACACAGAGGAGCCCGCGTATTCACGCGCCTTCAGACAAATTTGCAGTTTTCCATGCATGTGAATGTGCACCAACTGCTTTTGGTGCCAGGAGTCTTTAAGGACTATGACCCATCTTCATTCCCAACTGCTTGAAAAAGAGGCCACCAAAATATCCAGGTGTTTTTTTAAATCAGGCAGAAAAGCCATTTACCACTTTCTAAAGTCATCCACAAATCTGCACCTTCTTAAAGCGCCAGCTGCTGCAGAGAACCAGGTTGCCAGACAGCAGTGCAGGCCTCTGTACAGAGCCACGGTCCTCCGACCGTTTGCTTTGCTTGCTTTAGACCTGCCCCGACGTGCTGCTTTTTCAGCACTTTCAGAGCCTCTCCTCAGCCTTCAGTGAGCTCAGTAAAACTCTGTTGTATGAATTAAGTGACCGCATGAAGATCAGGCGACATTTTGTACACGTCACCTTAAATACAACTTGTGCAGCTCACCTACAGCCGTGCATTTATCAACACAGCAGTGGCAGGGTAATGTGATCTAGGGTTTATTAGATAAACAACCTTTCCCTGGATCAGAGCCCCTGTTGTCAAGAAACACCTTTAACAGCTGTGAAACTTGGGCAAAACAGGACTCACGTTCTGTCCACGCGTTTCAGGCTTGCACGCATTACCACCGAAAGGCAGTAAGTGAAGGGGGCAGAGCGTTACGCGTCGGCCCTACTTTTCACTTCCACCACGAACACATCAATCTCCCCGGTAAATACTGTGCCTGATCTGAGCGTTTCAAAGCTGTGATTTCCCCTGAATATTTCTGTGCTGCTCTTACCACTCAGTAAAACTGCTCACCTTTGCAAGATGAGTCGATTCAGTATTTGGTTACGTGCCCTTTGCTTTCTTTTCTGTACCAAAGGGGGGAAAAAAAGAGAGAGCCTCTACTGGAACTTAATACTGTGCCCTCTTCATTGCAAAGGGGAGAATTCATCTCTAGCATGTATAAAATATATAATCTGATGTACAGAAATATCTGAGCAGAGAGAGTCTCTTAAATACATTGGTCTCTCGTGGGATACCAGGGACTTAATATTACTGCTTTTAAGTTCAAGTGTTAAGATGACAGCGCTTTGCATAAGAGAATTGTTTCAAGTGGGCTGCAGCTGCCAACTTCCTCCTCTGGGCTGTACATACATAATCTTCCTGACAAGTCTCATCAGTCTTACTTGACCAACAGAAAACAAGACACAGACTTTACATCACTTCACAAGGCAAGCAAAAGAGCATGAAAACCTGCCACGAGGTCGTGCCAGCAGAGAACCCACCCCCTTTCAGGCTTCCCCTCTGGGCTGGCACGGGCTCTATCACAAGGAGGGGCAGGAGGGGAAGTTGTGGACTGAGCCGTCACGGGGTTAGAAACTGTGTTAGCTGATACAACCAATGCTTGGGCAGTGCCCTACAGGACTGCCACGTGCGCAGGGAAGTCATGGTGGAGAGCAGACAACAGCAAACCTGACACCAAGCTGCTGTGGAAGCGTACAAATTCCTGTCTCTTGCTACACAATGATGCCTGGATTAAGGTTGCGTTCCTCTGTGCTGCATTTTGTCACGCAGACGCTATTTTGGTCAGAAAGTCAGCAAGCCCTTATTTGGGAAGCTGCCCCACTGAAGGGCAGCATGAAGGACAGCAAGATGAGAGAGGCTGCTCCCAAAGGCAGGATTGGGTGAGCTCTGAGAAGACACACGACACCCAGCTTCTCTTCTCTGCTGTTCTCGTTAACACACCAACCTCCTTTTCTCAGCTTGACCCGTGCTTCTACCTCTCTGTCCTCAAACCGCATCCTACAGGTGAGCTACTCACAACACAAGCACTGGGGAAAACACAAATGGCATTTAGGGAGATGAAGTCCCCCTTCTTGCATAGAAAAAGCCTTAGAGGGCTTGAAATCTAAAATGCAGCACTTAACAAAGGCTGTGGATCTGCACACGCATGGGCGACGGTCCAGCAAAATGAAACATCAAGTCCTCTCTTCAGAGACTTGTGTTTTTTCTTTTAATGCTGTTCTCACAATGCACACCTGCAGCAGATTGACCTTCAGTTACACAGCTGGACCCACCACCCTGCCAGCTCCAACACCAGCAGCAATCCAAGGGTACATCTCCCCAGTCTTTTACAGGCAAACGCTAGGTCTCTGCGCCAGCTCAAGCTAGGGCTGCAGAGCTGCTGCTGGGCAGCTCTAGGCCCAGGCGGCTGAGGTGGCCCGAGAGAAGCGCGTGCTAACCTGAACTGTAACTAGGGGATTCTGGTCAGCTCACAGCACGGGCAAAGCAAGTTTGCATCTCCACACAATCACTTTTGCCGACAAACCCACTTGAACAGGAAAGGCACCAGCCTTACAGCTTAGAGACCTCTGATATCCAAAGGTGTTCAGGCACCACTGCAATCAGTGCGATTTAAGCGTTGCAGGTCTGTCTCTAGGTGACTTACCTACTGCCAATACACTTTCCAGAATGGATTAAAATGATCAAGAACCTCTCCCCAAACAAGCACAGCCTTCTGGCTTACCTGAAAGCAGCAGAGACCAGACTGCCTTTGTGTGTGGACTACAGAGCACTCTTCCACTTGTGACACAAACTCCATGACTGTGTGTTCTCGGAACATGCCCCCTGCAGCAGGGCACTGCTCCTACCCATGCTCTCCCTGTCGGCATGCTGCTCTCACACAGCAACCAAGTTTTCCCAGCTGAGAAACTTAAAACACGCCCAAGACAGACGAAGAGACACACACAGCAGGAAACTGACAGGTGGGGGCTGCACACCTCCCCATCCCATAATGGGGCACCTTCATTGCTCCTCTACATGCCCCCCCCTCCCACCCAGCCCCAAGATGGGCAAGAAAACCAATGCCATTCATCTCCAGCCTCCATTTACTGACACCAGCCCCCTAAAAAACAAGACACAGCTCATGCTAAGGAACTGTTCAAGCAGGAAACACCCCCTCTTTGCTACCAGGAGCTGTTCACCTTTGACGCTTGTGAGGCAAAAAACCACGGGTCATCAGGCATACTGAATTTTTTTCCAGCATGTTTTCACTCTGCGCATAGTTGAAAGAAAAAGCAGCTGTAGTTAAGACACAGGAGCAGACTGTAAGAGCCCTCAGCTCCTGAGTTTAATCTAGCAAGTCTCTTAAGCAGTGGGTTTGGTAATTGCTGGATGGTATTCATCAGTCAAAAGCCTAAAGTGTGTTTGGGAGCTGGAAGACGACTTGGAAAACAGTTCAGCCAGAATACAAGAATTCTCAATATTTACCTTGTTTCGAAAGAACACTTCATTTTGATAACTCTCTAAACTATTTTAAAAATCCCTACATTAAGCAGATATTTCAGCTGAAACAGTTTTTCATCCTGCAGGCTTGTTTTACAACTATACTGGAAAGTTAGAAGTTGCATCCTCCCAGCCACTGAACTGAGTAGTGGATTCGCACCACCCGGCGGACAAGTGTTGCAATTGCAGTAACAGCTTATTGCACCTTAACAGAGGCCCTGGGGAAAGAAGTCCCCTACTGATCTTCAGAACAGTGACAGCTACAAACCCCTGTCATAACATCTCTCTTGTGTTTTTAATGCTACTCTCTCCAGGTCTCAGTCAGCACATTTTAATCAAACAGGTGCTTTTTTTGTTACTGAAATGAAAGACCTCTACTAAGACGCAAGGAACAATCAGGCATATCAGATAGTCTTGTGACCCAACTTACACATCCCCCAGTATCTCCACTAACACTTCAATACTTTCAAATACGTTAGAGGACAACGCACATCACTTTGCATTAATACCAATCGCTATCATCTCCAGCACTGCAGCTATTACTAAAGCAAGCCTGAGTATTAGCATTTGTACCTACCTGTGTTTCTCAGTTTTCTATTCACTGCTCAGGGTCCTTCAGCAGCAGCCAGCACTGAGGAGATCAAACACACCTCTTATGACTTACCTGACTGCAGGGAAACACAGCCCTAGCCTGGAGCAGGAGCCTAGTTAGCTGTGTCTGTACAGTCGATACCCTTCTCGTTTTTCAGGATTTCTATAGCCACCATACCCAGGCAGCAGACAGCAGATGCTTAAGAAACAGCACTTGGAAGCCTAATCTTGCTGTAACAGTATTAATAACTATAGCAAAAAATTACAATGGGTGAGAACTTTGAACACACATGCTAACATCCAAAACATTGTTACCTGTATTGAATACTCTCACCTAAGAATCAAATCAACATCAGATGCAAGGTGTACTAGAAGACACACAGGACCCTTTGTTTAATTTTAAAGCTTCGCTAAATGAATGTAACACAATTTGAAAAAAGACTAGCCGACTTACAAATTTGAAAACAGACTATGAACTCGAAACATTCATAGGCACAGCAGAATAAACTGAGGAGGCAGCAGCTGCTCTGTGTGGAGGTTGATGCACATTAATGCGGAGTCTCTCCAGAAGCCTGACTGACTTGACAGGGAAGAAAAACCACAGATATGGGTCACTCCCTACGTGCAGGTGCGATGATACACGACTGACATTTAAAAGGGAACTCATACAAGAAGTTTGAGCGTTCTCCTTCAAACTCAGAAGCTGAAGACACTCGCTCTGGAGCTGTTACATCCAATTTTATTTGTACAAAAACACTGTGATGCACATGCCAACAGAAAAACTGGTTCTTTGTCTTAAACCACATCAGTCTTTTTTTTGCAGAGCGGCATGCTTGGCGTTGTTGGCCTGCATCTTCTTCAGCCCCTTTTTGTTGTGTTTCTTCGCAAATCTCATGTTCCTCAGAAACTTGGGATCAACCTACAAAAATAAGGGAAAAACATGCAGAAATGATGCATATAAAAACACGGACATTCCCAGTATGTTCCAGTTCCTCCTAAATGCTGGCTGCATTTAATTCAGAAAAATTTCCTATTTAGGACATCAATAGAACTGTTTTAGCCCACCTTGGCCATCCTTTAAACTAGCTGTTTTCTATAACATCAAAAAAATAAAACAGAAAGAACAGGACAAACTGAAGAAAGCTGTTAACGAGATAAACTGCCTTGTCACAACATCAAAATTTCATTCACGAGATACATTCTGGATCTGAACCATCACAAACAAGTCTTGTCAGGTGAGCACAGGTACATGTAATCCTGAGCTATGCGGAAAACAAGTTTTTACATCACCTCTTAAAAGGCAATAATCACATCCGCAAGGCAGACAGCACCACAACCCTCCCTCTCCAAATCTAAAATGCTTTGTTTCTTCTTTCTCACTTTCAATTGTGGAAAAAGATACTGCTATACCATTTGCCTAATGCCAGGAAAAGGAGAACGCTGTCATTCTTGCGTGACTTGTCAGGAATTGGCATTTCTGGATATCTACCGAGTAAGCTTCCCTATATTAGTCTTGACAGAAAAATAACAACGAAGGCTACAGAGAAGCAGGAAAGACAGCAGGATTCAAAACTGAGACGTGCCACCCAACTTGCACGCATCTGTTCCACCAGAAGCAGCAATAACAGACCAACTAGGAGAGGGACAAAGGTGGCTAATACCCAAAAGGCAGTTTTAGATGTACAACGTGGCTCTCATGTGGGTTAGAACATATTTAATTTTTCCAGTTCAACACAGAACAAAAGCTCCTCTACACAAATCTACACCAAAAATAGCTTTTCTAGTTGCAACTAAGGCTTGAGACAGGTAACTATTACAGTTGCAAATAAGGTAAGCAAAAGATGAAAAATAAACACATGGTAGTTCTGACAACCTGAAAAACAAGCTGTTTGTGAAAAGATTCTGGCCAAAAGAGTAAACACTGAAACCGATATACGGATATTTTCGTGGTTAAGCCTCGGCAGCTTAGCAGCCTGGAGGCACTGAAGGAAATACTCACCCCTTTGAGAGATTCATATCTCTGGGACCTGGGTTTCTTGATGCCGTTTCTGTGCCACTTACGGGCTTTTCAGAAGACAAAAATACAATTTAAATTACAATGTCAACTATTAAAAAAAAGTGAATGCGATTATTTAATCGAAAGCAACGCATCACGGGCAGCATTTCACGCAGCGGCACGTTTGATTTCAAGGCAAACGAAGTCTGTTTCTTTCTGTCTGCGGCTACACGGGGCCTAGAGAAGCTCTGCCGCTAGCAAAGCCCTCTCTTCTTAAACACGCCGCCCCCCGGCCTCGGC